CCAATTGTACACAATCAGATACACCTGATAACAGGGGGCAGAAGACTACACAAAAAATTATCTTGACTTATCTCATAGTAATAAATTATTAATATTAAAAATGTATTTCTGTTTTTTCTTTTTACATATTTTGTTAAAAGGCCAAATAAGGAGTTCTAACAAAAAAAAAGTAATTTTCTGTTTTGCTTTATTCTTGGATCAGGCTTTAAAGGGTTAACAGATTGAATTATTGCTTCGGCCTATTCCTTTTTTGGTAAACTGTGGGTTTGTCTATTGTTCTTTTCTTTTTTTCCTTTTGTTGTTTCTTGTGTTTAATGTGGACAATTTACCAAAATAAAGTGAAAGTGAAGTGAAAGTGAATTAGTGTTTTTTTTTAAAGGCTCTGAAACTGGGCCTGCAGCGCCCCCCTGTGGCCGCCCCCTGCCACTGCAGCCCTGATTGGCTGCACCTGTGCAGGTGTGGGGGGGGCTGGTCCCCCTGAGGTTCTCAGTTAAACCCTGAGGCCTGAAATGGTTAAATTCCCCTAAAGGGACCTGGGGGGTGTCATACCGGGGGCGTCCTGCAGGGGGCAGCAGAGGACAGAGATCTAACAGGTGAGTCTTTCTGTTGATTGGACCAAAATGGAGGTGAACAGGGTTTCAAATATCGTGGGAATTTGGTGTTAGCTAGCACAAATATCTAACAGGACAAATAAATCCTGTTTTATTCACACCAGGCTCCTCACAGATTTACTCCAATTCAAAACTATTTTTGTCCGTTCAAGCTTTCATTTTTTAATGCGTTTTAGTCACTTTGCTAAGAATAAAACAGGACTTCTTTGGTCTCTTTCTGCTTGGTTTTGGGCCAAATTTAGACAAGCAGAACAACACAAATACCACTCTGGTGTTAGCCAGCACAAACATCTAACAGGACGAAGAAATCCTGTTTTATTCCAACCAGGCTCCTCACAGATTTACTCCAATTCAAGACTATTTTTGCATCCATTTTAGTCACTTTGCTAAGAATAAAACAGGACTTCTTTGGTCTCTTTCTGCTTGGTTTTGGGCCAAATTCAGACAAGCAGAACAACACAAAAACCACTCTGCTGTTAGCCAGCAGGCTAACAGCTCTGAACACATTTAAAAAGCACCTTAAACTGTTTCTCAAAAGTTCCCAGACATGCAATCACTCATTTTAATTTTGTAATGTCATTGTCTGAACGTGTGTTTGGACTGATTTTGTATTTTGTGATTTTGTGTTGTTTGGTCTTCCTGCCTCAGGACTACAGATATAAACTAGCAACTATGCTATAATCTGGCTCATTTACAATCTGTATGAGATTGTTCATTAATGTGCGCTGTCCTGATTAAATAAATAAATAAAAAAACTAAAAACAGTTGTTAGCTAGCTAACAAAAGCAGCCTGATTGGTTCTATTCTGTCTGTGGGTTCAAACACACTAAATCTGAATGTTTATTTGTGGCCTCGCCTCATATTCAGAAATCAACACACAGAAAACCGTCTGGCGTTCAGAGCTGAGCTTCTTCTCGAGTGGGTGTGGAAGTTAGCACCCGGCGTGTGACGCTGAGGGGGGTGGGACTAAACTTTATTCATTTGCTTCATGGCAATATAGACATTAATTTAAAAATAGTTAAATGAATCTTTCAAACACTGAATTAAACTCTATACATAATATTATGTTAAAATAGTGGATGTTAAATAGGTTTGTACAATAAGTCCAAACAAGTTTAACCAAAAAATATTTATTTATTACAATTATGAAGGTTGGAGGGTTAGGTTTAGGGTTAGGGTTAGGGTCAGGTTGTCCTTTTTTTCTGCTCGTTTGCTCACATTTTGGATATTTTTTCACCTTTTTACAGTAAAACCTTAGCTTTAAAATCCAGTTTGGGGACTAAAAACAGGCTTTTGTCCGCTTCCTATCAGGAAAACTGTCAGATTTATGACTAAAGATTTATGACTAAAGTCTAGAGTCTAAATATGTGTGTTCGGTTTCGCCACCAGACGCTAAAATAATAAATAATAGTGAAACAGACCGACTTAAATTAGAATAAAACCCCTTAAAGCTCGGTTTTATTTCACTCCAAGCCACCTGGAGTGTCGTATTTTGGCTTTTTTGTGGGTTTGTGTCACTCTGAGACACACAGCCTGTCCCTTATTTCACCTTAACCAGGTGTAGATTTAATTTAATGACATTAAATAGATCCTTAATAGCTTAAAATACACATAAATGAGGCCTTAAAAAGCAGCTGCACAGACCCAGAGATGCAGTTTGTCTCATTTTGAGACAAAACGAGCAGGAAGTGGATGGAAAACTGGGGGAATGTTTATTTTTTTGTGTCAATAAACATTATAATTCAATGTTTTTGTCCTAAAAAGCTAAATAAAGGACGCATAATAGCCTGAGTAATGTCAGTACTGCTCATCTGAACATAAAACATGAAATGTTTAACTCTCCACTGTGATTAATATGTAACTTTTTTGCATTGTGGGATAAAAACTGGACCCTGCTTCCGGTTTTAAATTATTTTATTTCTGTTAATGTTCCTATGTGGACACTGAGGTTTGGCTGTTTTTGTGCTTTTGG